AGCAGTTAGGCATCGATCAGGCTGGCAGGGGAGTGGTTAGAGGGAGATCAGGCTGGCAGGCAGAAACAGTTAGGGGCAATCAGGCAAGCAGGCGAGTGGTTGGGAGCCAGCAATCCTGGATTGTGAGAGGTATGTCTGACTGCCGGTTTAGGCCTGATACCTGTGGGCCTAAACCGGCAGTCAGACATCCCCTGAGGGGTTCCAGATTGGAGAGGGTGCAGGCTGGGCTGAGGTACACCCCCTCTCCAGTGCACAAATTTCGTGCACCAGGCCTCTAATATATATATGTGTGTGTGTGTGTGTGTGTGTGTGTGTGTATATATATATCAACCTATATCTAAATAATTGATTTGAGAGACTAAGGGAGATGGAAAGAGAAACATGGGTGATGAGAGAGAATCATTGATCCGCTGCCTCCTGCATGCCTCACACTGGGGATCAAGCCTGCAACCTGGACATATACTCTGACCAGGAATCAAACTATGATCTCCTGGTCCATAGGTTGATGTGCAACCACAGAGCCACACCAGCTGGGCTCCATTATTTTTTTTTATTTTTTTTCTTTGTTATTGCTTTGGTATTATTATTGTTATTTTTCTCTTATCTTTCATTTCTTTCATATCTCTTATTTGATTCCTTCCTTTTCTAACTCTATTTTTCCCCTTTTTTCTTTTCTTCCTTTTGCTTTATCTTTCTCTTATTTTTACCTTTTCATAATTTTTTTCTCTTTCATCTTTTCTTGTTACTATTTTCCTGTTCCTACTCTTTACTCATTTTTCTTCTCTCTCTTCTTTCCTTTCAGAATCTTCTTTCTTGTAGGCCGGCGAACCTGCGGAACTGGTGAGGAGAAAACCAAGATGGCGGCATAGGTAAACACCGGAGATTGCTGCTTAGCACAACCACTTCAAGAATACAACTGAAAGACAGAACGGACATCATCCAGAACGACAGGAAGGCTGGCTGAGTGGAAATTCTACAACTAGAAGGAAAGAGAAAAGCATACTGAGACTCAGAGGAGCTGCGGTGGGGAGGAAAGTACAGAGGTACGGAGGCGCATGCGGAGAGGGCTGGCGGCTGAGGACACAGTTGTCTTTTTCAATCGGTAGGGAGTCTCAAGCTCTGAGTTCCAGTTCTGGGCGAGTCTCTGGGGACCCAGACTACTACGGGAGAAACTGGACTGTCTGGCATCAGTCGGAACTCGAGGGCAGCTTTCTCTCAGAGGTGTTTGCAGTGATTACTGGGACCGACTTTTGCATATGGAAGGCCTGGCCCTTTGCAATCTGAAATCACCTAACAAACTTGCAGCTGGCCCAAGGCCCCACGGCAACTTGCATTGCGTCACAGCTGAGCTCCTGCTGGGTAGCCTCAGGCAGAGGCTAGATTAGGCCCTCCTTAGAGATCCAGGAGCCAGTGTGCCCGGTGGTCAGAGTGGGACCATCCAGATTGCAGCTCCTCGGATCCATAAAGGACACACTCAGGGGGCAGACTCAGTGAGCACCAAAGCCCCATTGAAGCAAGTCTTGCCCCGGAGGGGGGTTTTCAGCACAGAAGTTCTCCCACTGAAGACACAGCTGATTCTCACAGCCAATTGGCCTGGAGGTCAATTCCTCCCAGTGATACCTACAACAATCAAGGCTTAACTACAACAAGACTGTGCACAAAGCCCACAAGGGGGTGCACCAAGAGTGTCCATCTCAGGTAATTGGGGAGGCTGAGCCACTGGGCCCTATAAGACACCTAGCACAGAAAGCCACTCTATCAACACAGGGAAGCATGAAAAATTCAGAGACAAAGAAACAGGTCACAAATGACAGAAATGGAGGAAAGCAAACTACTGGAAAGCAAAAACCTTTTAAGGTTTTTCAAGAACTTTCTAGAAACTGCAGATAAATTTAGGAAGACCCTCAAAAAGTCTGGTGAGACCACTGATAAATGTAGTGAGACCCTCAAGAAATCTAGTGAGACCCTCGAGGTTATGAAAAAGGACCAACTAGAAAT